GAGGCTGGAGAGGGATGGCAGGAGACAAATCGCTTGATCATTGTCTTCGGTCCACCCTCTCCGGGGCACCTGGTGCTGGCCACTGTCGATAGACAGGATACTGGGCTAGATGGACCTTTGGTCTGACCCAGTACGGCCGTTCTTATGTTATGTTCTTATGACTTTAACAGGTTCAAAAAAGAGCTAGATAGATTCATGGAGGTTAGGTCCATCAATGGCTATTAGCCAGGATGGGTAGGAATAGTGTACCTAGCCTCTGTTTGTCTGGAAATGGATGACAGGAGAAGGATCGTGTGACGATTACCTACATAAGAACATAAACATAAGAACATACGTATAGTTGGGGTTATTTTTCCCGATGTGCATTACTTTACATTTATCCACATTAAATTTCATTTGCCATTTTGTTGCCCAATCACTGAGTTTGGTGAGATCTTCTTGGAGTCCCTCACAGTCTGCTTCTGTCTGGACTATCCTAAACAGTTTTGTTTCATCTGCAATCTTTACCACCTCACTGCTTACCCCTTTCTCCAGATCATTTATGAATAAGTTGAAAAGGATTGGTCCCAGGACTGATCTTTGGGGTACACCACTAGTTACCCCTCTCCAATCTGAAAATTTACCATTTACCTATTGTGTTCACTCCCTCTAGGGCATCTGGCATTGGCCACGGTTGGCAGACAGGATACTGGGCTAGATGGACCTTTGGTCTGACCCAGTATGGTCATTCTTATGTTCTTATTCTGCAAGCATCACAGGAGCTGAATTGGTAGCACTAGTGAAAAATGTTTGAAAGCCATCCCTAATACAGAGAGCAATGCAGTACTGGGAGCTCGGATGGATAAAGTCATGCTCCATGCTTTGCACTGCACCCGGTGTTCCCCAGTGATGTGAGAGTCTCTGTGAGGGTCCCTCTGTGATGAGCTTGGATCAGCAACCAAAAGGTCCTTTTCCATCATGTTCTTCCTTGCTAACTTAGTTTAGCCTGCCACCCTTTGCAGGGACCCATTCAAACCATGCTCTGCATGAAGGGGGCCTTGCCAGCAAGTTATGCCCCCATGCAGGTTGCATGGACTCCTTCTTTATGCTGTTCCAGAGCTCACCAATTGCTTCTCCTTTGCTCCTCCAGCGGATATTAAAGTGACTCAGAAAAGCTTCAACTTTGCCCGGAAGTTCAATCTGCCCTTCTATTTTGTCTCAGCTGCAGACGGCACCAATGTAGTGAAGGTGAAGCTTGTCTGTGGAGATGTGGTTGGTGCCAGGCTGCATGGGGGGGCAAGGAGGAGGGGGGGTTCTTTGGGAGACAGGATGTTTCACTGGCTGCCTTCTAAGGGTATGTCTACACTACAGCACTAATTCGAACTAACTTAATTCGAATTAGTTAATTCGAACTAAGCTAATTTGAACTAGTGCATCTAGACCTAAAAACTAATTCAAATTAGCGTTTTGCTAATTCGAAATAGCACGTCCACATTGAGTGGACCCTGAACCGAAGTTAAGGCTGGCAGGAAGCAGTGCCAGCAGGGCATCAGGTTAGGACTTAGAGTGTGGAGCTGCTGTCTCAGGCTAGCCGAGGGCTGTGCTTAAAGGGACCCGACCCCCACCCCAGACAGACAGTTCTCAGGGTTCCCCGCTTGCTTGTCTACCTCGATGAGGGACAGCAAAGCAGTCCTGTGTTAGAGTGCCCTGAGTGCCCACGCTTGGCACATCACAGCATTCGGCCATCAGCCCAGCTGCACTTGCCGCAGGCTGCCATCCGGGGCGTGTGGTCAATCGGGGGGCTGTCAGGATCCAGGAGGCCCTGCAGAAGAGCTTCCACCCTGAGGAGCCCGCAGAGCCACCACAGTCCTCCCCATCGGGGGCTCGTGCCCCATTCCTCCCTCACCTCCTTCCATTTACCCCTCCCTAACCCTCCTTCCTGATGTAAAAAATAAAGAACACGTGTGTTCTAAAATAGAAACTCTCTTTATTTAACAAAACTGGGGGGGGGGAAACCACGGAGGAGGGAGCTGGAAGGGGAAAGCCAGAGGAAGACGGAGGAGGGGAAGTATAAAACTATGATCTGCCATATCTTCAGTACAGTGTACAGACGTGGTCTCATCACCTCAAAAAAGATGTTTTGGCCTTGGAAAGGGTTCAGAAAAGGGCAACTA